TGATGGTTTCCAAAATACGGTCTGGGACCTCCTACTGGGTCTGAAACTCTGGGATTGGGGCTCAAGAATGTCACAATCAGCCAGGTTTGGGAGTTCCTTTCCAATTCTAATGCAGTGAAGAGAGAGAAGCACTGTATTAGAGAAGGAGGTGGTGCGACCAGTTAACGTGACTAAGATAATGGCTGTAGTGAGAGCCAACCACGTGAGAGGGGAAGTACAGGGACAAAGGGATACACTTGAAGGTCATTTAGATAGCACCCCCACCACTCATTCTCTCTCTCTCTGTCAAATAAGTAAATAAAATCTTTATTTTCTTTTAAAGATTAATTATTTATTTGGCAGAGAGAGAGAGAAAGTGCGAGAGAGGGAACACAAGCAGGGGAAATGGGAGAGGGAGAAGCAGGCTTCCCACTGAGCAGGGAGCCTGATACGGGACTTGATCCTAGGACTCCGGGATCATGACCTGAGCTGAAGGCAGACTGAGTCACCCAGGCGCCCCAATAAATAAAATCTTCAAAAAAAAAAAAAAAATTAAAAGTATCTCCTTTCCACTACAATCACAGACCTGAAGAGGGCAGATGGGACTATGGGGAGATTCATCTTGATCCGGCGTCTGGGTTCCCCAGGGACTCAGGGAGGCGGGAAACTGACACCCGAATTACTGAACTCAGGCATCAGAAGCTGAGGACATCTCCACTGTCTCCTCACTGCCAAGTAGGTCAGGATTAAAGCGAACTGAGGCAAAGGGTATGGTTGGCTGCACCAGGGGAAGACTGGTCTGTCCGGGCACCAGCAAGGCCATAGGAGCTAAGCCAAGCAGTTGGGCATGGAGGTGTGGGAGAAAAGGATGGGAAAGTGGGCATGGTGGAACCCTGTCACAGGCGTTTGGGTTAGGCTGTGAGAAACCCCTGGGGGAGGTGCCCTTGAGGATGACCAATCAGAGAGCGAGTTGCAGGACAGGGGCGTATCTTAGTCGAGATTGGATAGCTGCCTGGCCTTGGGAGGGGCCGCGGTGCCCCAACCCTCCCGCCCGGGGCCGCAGTTTTGCAATCCAGCTTCATAAACCGCAGTGGCGGCGGCGATGGAAGTTGTCTGAGTGTGGCCCACGTGCCTGAATCACGCTCCTCGCTGGCCGCGGAGTTCCTTGGGTCCCGCGTGCGTTTTGTCCTGCCCCAAAGTTCGCTCCATCCTCGGTGACCTTAACCTCTAGCCCAGCTTCTCAAGCTCCGGACCTCGGCATCTGCAGAACTAAATGGTCACAGCCATGAATGCCTCGGACGGAACAGAGCAGATGTTGGAGCCTTACAACTTCGAGCTGTTCTGGGACATGAGGCCTCTTTTGGAGGAGTACTGGTGAGACCTGGGGAAGGCGAAGGGCAGTGCCAGGGTCCTGACCTTAACAAGTGCTATTTAGGGAGGGTTGGCGTCAGGGAGGAGATACTGGGTGCCTGCGATTATTTTCTTTTCTTTTTTTTTCTCCTCTTTTCTTTTCTTTTTCTCCTCCTCCTTTTTTTTTTTTTTTTTTTTAAGATTTCATTTATTTATCTGCGAGAGAGAGAGAGACAGCATGAGCAGGGGGTGGGGCAGAGGGAGAGGGAGAAGCAGGCTCCTCGATGAAGGGAGTCCGATGTGGGACTCGATCCCAGAATTCTGGGATCATGACCCAAGCTGAAGGCAGACCCTTAAGCAACTGGGCCACCCAGGCACCCCTGTTACGGTTTTCTTAAAGAGCAAAGGTGTGGGGCTCCCCTGTACTGTCTCCATATCCCTGTTGTCCAAGGTGCAGTTAGCATGACATCTCAGAGATTAGATCTGGAAGAAAGAAAGAATGAGAGAGGAAGAGACAGGATGGAAGGGAGGGAGAAAGGAAGAAAATGGGTTGAGGAAAGTAGGAGATGGAAACTGAAGGGAAAGAGGGGAGTGAGACATGATCTCTGAGGAAGGGGTTGATCTGAACTCCTCCTCCTCTCCACCTTCTAGAACGACTCTCCTCTGTCCATTGTGGCTGTGTGTGCAGGTGTGTGGGCATAGTGCTGGTGCCCAGGGACACTCTGCCCTTCACAATTATCACATTGTTCCCCAAATGCTCCATTGTCCCCCGCTGTGGAAAAGGAGACACAGTTGGGAACCTCTTTCAGGATTTCCCCAGTCTCTTTGACTTTGCCCTAAAGCTCCTCAGAGGTGTTTGTGGACTGACTTTTGTCAGTTTGTGGACTGACAATTTGCCATGACTCAAATAGGCAGAAACTATTGCCACATTCTTCTAAACACTAGAGTCCTGGGTTGGTTCTAGACATGGACCCAGTAGTTGTCACCCACTCACAATTCCCCTGAGAGCAATAATCACAGAAACCTGTACACAGCCCCAGCCCTGTGCTAGGTACTTTATATACCTTAACACTGTCAGGGAATGTTATTTTTCCAAAGTCACGCAGCTGGTAAGTGGCAGAGTTGGGACTCCAACCCAGAGCACTGACCCTGAGAGATGAGTGGGCATTCCTCTAACCAGGACCCACCTATAAGCCCATCCCCTCTGCCTTCTGCCTGCCAGGACAACCTCATTCCTCATAGCTCTGGTCTACCTGCTGCTCATCTTTGTGGGGCAGAACTACATGAAGGCACGGAAGGGCTTCAACTTGCAGGGGCCTCTCATCCTTTGGTCCCTCGGCCTTGCAATCTTCAGGTAAGACCCCCCCCATCTCCACTCCCTGACTATCCTGTAGACCCTAGATCCTCATTCTATCCCTAAAAGCTTTCTGGAAACCCCAAGTGAGTCAATGCCCCAAGTTTTCCTCTAACTCTCTCCCTAACCCATTCCCTCAGCTCCAGTTCCTTCCCCAGCTTCCATCCTCCTCCCATATTACCCTGCTTTCCTTCTTCCCCAGGCCCCACACTGGCAACCTCTGCTCTCTCTCTCATAAATCCACTTGTGCTCATGGAGTCTGTACTTTTAACAATTTCCTCCAACCTCTAATGCTCTCAGCATCTAACACCCTCTCCCAATACCTTGCAATAACTTCTCTAGCCCCTCCTTCCCAGATTCCATCCCCCATCCCCTCCCAGGTTCCTACCCATCCCATTAACCCTAGTCCCTAACTCAACTTTCAGTCTCATCCTCCAGCATTCCCTGGTCCTTCCCCAGCCCTCATCTCCTCTAGATTACTGGTTGGATCCTGGCCCCAGGATCTCAGAAGCTGTGACCCATTCTGCCGGAAGGGGGTAAATGGTGGAGCTTGAGGCAGTGACCTGCCAGGCCAAGGGAGAAGGGTGAATTGGTGTCTGGGGATGACCCTTACACCCTTTTCCTCTGTCCCATTTCAGTATCCTGGGGGCACTGAGGACATGGGGCTATATGGCTACCCTGGTACTTAGGGGGAACCTAAAGAAAACTGTGTGCTTCTCCAACCTTGCCAACACTCCCATAATCGGATTCTGGTCCTGTCTCTTTGTTCTCAGCAAGGTTATTGAACTTGGTGAGTGGCAAGGCTTTGTCTCTCTGGTGCCCAGTCAACTGCATCCTTCCTCAGGGGCCCCCTACCTCTCCCATTACACGGAGAGTCCCTTCCCCACCCTTGGGTCCTAACAACACCTCTTACCCAAGCCCCTCTTTAAATTATTTGCCACAAAGACCCTTCTCCATGCCCTGAGAATTCCCCCTGTGTTCCTATATCCATCAGGGAGGGTGGTCCCAACACTGGGTGGTAAGCCAGCTATGACTCTCCATTTCCCAGGAGACACAGCCTTCATCATCCTGCGTAAGCGACCACTCATCTTTGTGCACTGGTACCACCACAGCTCAGTGCTAGTGTATACGAGCTTTGGATACAAGAACAAGGTGTCTGCAGGAGGCTGGTTCATGACCATGAACTACGGTGTGCATGCCATCATGTACATCTACTACACTCTGAGGGCTGCCAAAGTGAAGTCCCCCACGTGGTTACCTATGCTCATCACCAGCCTGCAGATCTTACAGATGTTTATGGGAGCAATTGTTGGCATCCTAACTTACATCTGGAGACAGGAACAGGGATGCCACACCACAATGGAACACTGCTTCTGGTCCCTTGTCTTGTATACGACCTATTTCATCCTCTTTGCCCATTTCTTCCACCAAACCTACCTAGTGCCCAAGGTCAAAGCCAAGACCAAGAGCCAGTGAAAAGCTGGAGAAAAAGGAGGCCCAGGCTCTCTCTCTGCCACGGCACCAAGGAGTTGATCTTAGGTTTGGGAGAATAATGAGGAGGCCTTCCCTGCATGGTTTTTCCCATGGGATCTGTGCTCCAAAGTGGCAGGAAGTTATAACAGGCAAGAAGTGTCAGCCGTGGGTGGGGTGTAATCTAGTGCTTTGATGTTTCCATTTTTAATGTGAAGGCCAAGCAAGCCCTGGGATGGGGGTAGAACTGAGGAGGATCCCCAGAGCTGAGTTATTTATATTTCTATCCAGAAATCTTCCTCTTGCTCCATTTTTAAATTAAAGATTTCAACAAGTCTTCTGGGGTTTTAAGATTTGGGGGAAGAGGACTGCTGTGACGGGAAAGGGCTGCTGGCAGCAGGGTGATCACTGAGAAGCCTAAGAAGGTGTGTGGAAAGATGAGAGGTACACACACGCAGACAATAAGAATTCTAGGCCTAGTAGGCACTTAATAAATGTCTGTTACAGACCAGAATTTTATTGCTATTAGAGACCCAAGCCCCTCATAGGAACAGTGAGAAACAGGTGCAGGAAGGCTGTGCTAACTTATCTAAGGTCATAAGTTTCCTAAGTTGCAGAATTGACACCCACAAGGGTTCCTGACCAGAACTTCCAGTTATCCTCCATGAGACCACGAGGTGGCGCCGCAGCACCAGCTTTGGCCAACGCCAGCCAAGTAGCTAGTCCTAAACCACACTTACGTATTCGCATGCAGGGCACGTGCCCCACTTTGCTCCAGGAATCTCCCAGCTGCCCCATCCCGGTGCTGGGAGCTGAGAGGGGATTGAAGCCCTAGAAGTCCGGGTCTCACTTCTTTTCCTGTGCACTCCTCTAGACATGGGGTAGCATGAGGGGCGGGAGCTCAACCGCAACTCTGAATCATCAGGCCTTTGGCAGTCCGCGCACGTTTATTTCGTTTATCTTTGAAAATGGGGGAGGGGAGTCTGGAGAAGGCGGGGTGGGCCAAGGGTCAGTTGGCCCCCGGGGAACTGGTCCCTGTTTCTGGCCTTAGTCCCAGGGGTGTGGACTGTGTGTAGGGCCCAGTCCACCCCTCAGGGTCGGCAGGGGGTAGTCTCTCTCCTGAGCTGGCCGCGCCCCCCTCCCCGAGCTGCCCCAGCACCCCTCTCAGACCCCGGGGTAGGGGCAAGCCAGTCAAGACGACCGCCGTCGGGGGAGGCTGTGAATTCTCGCCCCCGCCCTCGGGGTTGGTAGACGGACCGGGCCATTCATACAGGCCGTTCCACGGCGTACTGGCACGGACTGAGGTTGGCGGCCGGGGGCGGCCCGGGCACGGCGGGATAGCTGAAAGAGGCGTGCTGTTTGGCCTTGAGCCTCAGGCTGGCCAGACTCGAGTTACACGGGTCCCGATATACGTAGGGAGAGGAGGCGGCTGCAGCTGCGGCTGCAGCGGCCGAGGCGTAAGGGCAGGATACTGCCCCGGAGGACACTGCGGCGGGAGCCAGCCCGGGGGGCCCCCCGCCCAGGCCCTGCAGAGCCCCGGGCCCTGGCACGGCGCCCGGGGCGGCTGCGGCCGAGGGCACCATGGAGGCAGCGATGGAGCTGGGTGGCGAGAAGACGGGCTGCGAAGCCAGAGGCCCCACATTGACCGAGTTGAAGGCGAACGGGAAGGTCTTTGCGGCGAGCGGCGGGCCGAGCGCCTTGGGTGGCCAATTGCCGTACGAGTAGCCGGGGTACACCTCCTCATAGGGCGGCACCAGCCCTCCGAGTGGCGCGGCGAAGCCGCCCTTGCACAGCTCCGCCTGCTGGCTGCGCTCGCGCTTCCGCCACTTGGCGCGCCGGTTCTTGAACCACACCTGCGGGCGTTGGAGAAAGCTGTCGGGGCCGGAGCCGGGCGAGGGGCCGGCTCGGGTCCGCGCGGCAGCGACTGGGTCCCAGAGCCCGGAGCTCGGGCCGGGACCGTGCCGAGGAGAAACGAAACGGAAGTGGGGCAGCCAGGCTGGGGGTGGAAGGAGCGCACCGAGTCCGGGTGCTGAGAACAGGAGTGGGCGACAGGACTGAGTCAGGGCGATAGGGTCTGGGGCGGGAGCACGAAGGATGGAGTCAAAGAGGAGTGAAGAAGAGCACGGGAGACAGTGCTGGGGGAAAAGGAACGAGGGGCCTGGGACGACAGGGTGGATGGAGGTGGAGCAGAGGCCGGAGCAAAGGAGGCTGTGCGGGGCAGCCGACCGAGGCAGGGGCCGGTCGGGTGTGGGGCCGAGGGTAGGCAATCAGGGCGGGAGCTCCGGCTGGGAGCTCCAGGGCTGCTCGCTGAGCGGCGGCTGAGAAGGAGGCCGGGGCTGGAGGGGGAAGGGGGGCGGGGGGCGGGGGCGGGCATGTAGTGGAGGGCTCAGGTTTGGGAGGGCCGTACCCGCACGCGGGCCTCGGTGAGGTTGGTCCACACCGCGATCTCTTCGCGCGTGCTCATGTCGGGGTAGCGGTTCCTCTGGAAGGTCGCCTCCAGCTCCTGCAACTGCTGGCTGGTGAAGTGGGTGCGCTGCCGCCGCTGCTTCTTCTTCAGCGAGCCGTCTTCGGGGGAGCCGCCGGGCAGCGAAGCCGAGGCCTTCTCCGAGTCTGGGGGCCGAGGTGGGGGCAGGTCACAGGGCGCCCAGGCCTGCGCGGATTCTGCGGTTCCAGGACCTCCTCCACTGACCGCTCACTCCCACCCGGCCTTCCCCCACGGCCAGATGTCACCCCCAGGAGGGATTGAACTGTTATCTCCCCTACCCCCGGTAGGGGGTGCGCTCACCGCTGTGCTCTTGGCCCTTGCAGCTGTGTTCTGGGAGGGGTGGGTGGGGAGTGCCCGCATCTGACAGCGAGAGGGCCGGGCTGCGGGCCTCCGCCTCGCTGAGCAGGCCGAACTCCATGGAGGGAGGACTCTGGAAGAAGACAAGACACAGATCAGGTGGATGGGGATAAAATCTCGCAGTTAACCGGTTCCTAGTAGTGTTTCCCCTCAAGTTCACTGCCCCTTTCTCAGCTACCGACATAAAGCTACCCCTCTGCGGGGTGCCCTAGGATAGAATAGGGAAATAGCAGCCTAAGGGGAGAAGGGGGTATTCCCAGGGGCATTATGCACAGACATGCACACAGACTATTTTGTTCACTGCTGGGCACCTAGCTAGAACTCTGCCTGGTGCCCAGTTGGTGTGCAATAGACACTTTTTGAATCCGCTAAGGAAAACTATGCTATTGCATGGAAAACCATGCTATTGCACACCACATCTTCCAAAACTTCAGTTCCTTCTCACATGTATGTCCAGTATCCCCACAAACTCACACCTGCCCCTCAGCTGATCACACCTGAACACAGCCCAAACCTCTGTTACTCTCCAGTGGGACAGATTTGATTTTTGAACCAGGCCCAATATGTCTCGCATACGGATAATCACTGCTATTATTTATGAATACTTACTATGGGCTTCTGTCTCATTATTTCTCTCCTCACAAGAATGCATCTATCTTAAATATCACCCTTGTTCAGGTGAGGGAACAGACTTGAAGTTACCACTAAGCTCACAGAGCTTGTGCATGGTGAAGCTGGGATCTGAACCAGGTCTGGGAAACTTGTAAGCTACTGCTTTTTCTTCATTTGCTTTTTCAAATTGTGTTCCTGGGGGCCCTACTCAGAAATCCCCTCAGGGACTGGAACTTGGGGCCAGCCTCAGGGATAGAAGTCTAGCTTGGCCTTGCATGGGTCTGCTTCAACCAGGGCAGTCCTGCTTTGGCCTGTTTTGTTTATGCTTTCTAGGGAGATAGCATTTGAAGAAAGGGTTCCAGGATCAAAAACAAGTTTGAAAATCCCTAGGCGTCCTGGCCTCGTCTGCCTCTGTGTCTGTGCAGACACACATCACACTCCTACTAGAGCCTCCACCAGCGCTCCTACCTCCCCGATCCCACGAGCAAATGTGAGCTTCTTAAAGTCACCTTCCCGCCCTTATTCCCTATCCCAAACCTTGCTTGACATGTTCCAGGAGATGGCCCAGGTCCCTCTCCAAGTCTCCCCAGCAGGGTCCCCCTTGCTGCTGGCTCTCCCAAGCCCCCCCTGGTGGGAGGAAGAGAAAGGGGCACTAGTGAGGCTTGGGAAGTCTGGACAGACACCTCTGGGTCAGAGGAGAACCAAAGGAGGTTAGGGACAGAGGAACAGGGGTGAAGAGCTGGGTAGGAGGGGTCCATCTGCCTCTCCATTAACAGGGACTTGATCCAGGCTGTGCAGGGTGGCATTAATGTGGCGGATTAGCCTAGATTGAGATGTGTGTCACTTGGCTGTTCTGAATTTATAAGGAGCCTCTCTCTGGGAGGCACAGATGGGCAGCGGCCTGTATTTGCACATGGAAATGCACCCGTCAACCAGCTGAAGGAAGACAGCTGCCCCCCAACCTCTCAAGCGAGACTGGGGGTGCAACAGAAGTCAAGGCAGGAGGTTGAGAAGCAGTCAGTCCCTGTTCTGTTTGCAGGGAGAGGGGTGGGGTCTAGACTTGGACTTTTTCCGAGGGTTGGAGAGGGAGGACTGAAAGGAACAGGGAAGGAGAGAAGTCAGGCTAGGGGTGGGGGATACTCAGCTCCCCTCCCCTTCCAGGTCTAAGGTCAGGAGTCAGAGGCTTGGGGCTGGCCCAGGGATGCTCTGAGAGAAGGGAGATACCCTTGGGTGAAACCTGTGGCAGCCTTGACTAGTAGTTCTTCCCAAAGAGCTCAAAAGGCTTAGAACTGAGAGCTGGAAAAAGGGGGGCTCTGAAGTCTACTCTTACTTTATACCCAAGGTGCTCTCAAAATGCAAGCTATCCCCCTGGCCTCTCCAGAGGCCATGGGAACAACACCGCTGGGAAACGAGGGACGATTTGGTTCACCTGTAGGGAAAACTAAATCCCACCAGTGCCATTTGTCTTTCCAGTCTGCCTTGGCTCCAGAACTCCAGTATTCCAAACTCCCCTTCCACCAGCATTCCATACCTGTGTCTCCGTTTCACCCTCCATTGCAGCAGAAGGAGGCAGAGTGAAGAGAGATAAGGGCCAGAGCAAGAGATGAGGCCGAGAAAGCAGAGTTCAGGCTGTGTATTTCCAGAGACAGACAGACACACATGCAGACACACACGAGCCCCCACTCAGACAAAATAAGCACTTGGACTTGGAGCTAGAGGCATACAAACACATACTCTCCCACACATGCGCTCCCACATTCAGGCAGACAGACCCACACCGTCACACAGTCTCCTCTCTCTGTGACAGGGACAGCTGCCTTGGCTGTTTTGGAGCTCGCCATTACTCTCCACTCCCCCCCTCCTTCTGGCCCCTCTGAACCTCAGATCTCAGTCCCAGAACTAAGGACTCTGTGGGGGAGGAGGAAGCCTAAGGGGCCAGGGGAGCGGTCTATACTCCCCTGAGTATAGAGTCTGTTTCCCTGGGTGGGGAGAAGTCTGAGGGAAGAGGATGGCTTGGAGGTAGAGAGTGGAAACTGCCCAGGACCCTCATAGGAAAACAATCTGGAATAGCCAGAAGAAATTTGGTTTGGGGACAAAAGATCTGGGTCCATGTCCTGGCTCCCCAACTTACTAGCTCTTTGTTCTTGGCAAAGTACTTTACCTCTCTGGACATATTTCGTCATCTAAAATGGAGATCATACTCCCTTCCCTACCTACCTCTAGTACTGTTAGAAGGTTTAAAAAAAAAAAAACATAATGTAAAGATGAATGGGGACAAAACTCTATCCAAGTTGCTTCCCTGCCCCCCCACCATTCATGGAACAGATGTCTCTTTGGTGCCGTCTATGAGCTGGGCATTGAGTAAGGCACTGAGGATAGAGTGGTAAATTAGATCTCATCCTTGTCTCTGCCCTTGCTTGAGTTTACCTTCTGAGACCCTGTATTACCCAGTGAAGATTTCCTCTGGTGAAAAAAGGCAAGTATGCTGGATTTGAGAGTGGGATGCAAAGGTGTGTTGTGAATACTCTGCCCTGAACATAAAGGAGGGCCCAGCCAATAAAGTAACAGCAAAATGGGCAGAGTAACCGAAGCCAAGAGCCACTGGTAAAGGGGAGAAGGAAACCTTCAGGCTCTTGACCGGTGCGGGACTATTGGAAAGAGGGGTGGAGGCCAAGAAGAGTCCTGCCTGTGAAACTGACAAGGCAAGAACACCACAGGCAGGCAGGCAACAGAGAGCTAGATAGCGGGGCCACAGGCCTCCCACAGACTCGCGTCTGGGTGGGCTAGCCAGGCAAAGGCTGGGGGCGCCAGGCTGTTGTCTGAGCTGGAGACAGGCTGGCTGAGGATTAAGCTCCCCCAAACTGTTAGAGGTCAGGAAGCTGGGGAGTTGGGACTGAGGCCAGGGGCTTCTCCTCATTAGGTGGACAGGGACAAGCAGGAGGTCTGGAAGCTGCAGGATTGGATGCTGGTAGGAAACACCAGGCAGGACCAGAGAGAGTCAGGAGATAAGAGGGGTGCTGAGTCCAGCTCTGGGAGGGGCTGCTGGTCCCCCCTCCAGCCTCCCTGACACACCCTACTGGGGATATATGGGTGAGGCTCCACACTGTCAGGGTGACAAGTCCCACACTGTCAGGGTGACAAGTCCCACCCTGGGAAGAAGAAAGGACCTGCAGGTGTGCTCTGATTCTGAAATACAGCCTGGGATTACAGGAAGACTATCGTTGACCACAGAGAGAACAAAATATTCAAGATATATTAAAGTGGAGAGCATAGGTTATCCCAGGTTAGAGAGGTCAGAGAGAGGGGGTCATGGTTTCCAAGTGACCCAAGCTCATGGCAAGAAGACAACAGCCACGTGTACCCACTTTTGCCCTGACACCAAAGGGGCAAATCAGGGCCGCAGCCAGAGAGCCCCCAAGTAGTTGCAATGATGATGCCTGGGCAGGAGGCGTACCCCAGCACTGAGATGGGAGAAAACCCTGGAAGATGGAAGGGATAGAGTTGGCACTGTGGCTCAGTTCAGCAAGTAGCAAGTTGGTAATAGAATATAGACCAGGGTCCTTAGCTAGCGTGGAGCCCAGCTAGAAACCTGGGTCTGAAGTAAGGCCCTTCAGTTCATTAGGGATGCTGAGGACCCAACCTGTCTGGTCTGCTGAGCTGCTGTGAGCACATGCGAGCAAATCAGACAGCTGTAGACAAAGGTCACAGACCCGAGAGGAAACCCTAAGACTTGAGCGGAGGCAGCGATGATTTGATGGAGTTAATTTAGCAAGGGGTAAATTAGGGATCAGAGAAATGGGCCCCCACACCCACCATCCCCCTTCCTTCCTTCTTTCCTTCAGCAAGTGTTAGGTGCTAGGACAGATCCCTAAGGATGGTAAGGCACAGATCCTAATTTCTAGGAGCCTACAGTCTGGGGAGGCAAACAGGATAGACAATGATGGGCTAAGTAGGCCTAATTCTCACACTAGGGGGAGGTCAAAGAGACAGAAGCCCATGTAAGGTGGTATCAAGTTATGGGGCTCAGAGAATGTAGCACATGGCAGAGCTGGGAACTGGGGAGGCATAGAAGGAGCAGACGCTTCTAAATAATAAAGCACTACTGGGAATGAGCTGGCAGGTTCCGAGGGCAACAGGCAGTCTAACGTGGCCAGGGTCTCAGTGTGGGCAATGGGAGAGCATCAGAGGAAAACAAGTCAGGTAGAGGGGCCCTCCAGGGAAGGGCATGGGGTGGTGCTTCAGGTTTGATAAAGTCTAAACTAAAGCATCTCCAGCTTTTCCATCAAAACCCCCCCAAGACCAGTAAGAAAGAACATCCCTCAGGGAAACTGGGAGCATGACCTCAAGCAGCTGCCACCAGTATGAAATTTCTTTGAGATCTCCAGCCTTATGTTAAAAATTGAAGCAAGTTTTGTATTCTATTCCACGCTTAATTATAGTTATTTTGATATGAAAATAAAGTTTTCTTGGGGTGCCTGGGTGGCTCAGTGGGTTAAAGCCTCTGCCTTCGGCTCAGGTCATGGTCTCAGGTTCCTGGGATCGAGCCCCACATGGGGCTCTCTGCTCTGCAGGGAGCCTGTTGCCTCCTCTCTCTCTCTGCCTGCCTCTCTGCCTACTTGTGATCTCTGTCAAATAAATAAATTTAAAAACCTTAAAAAAATAAAGTTTTCTCTCTCCACATCTTCAAGTGACATCTTCAAGTGACATCATCCTGCCAGGAAGATGGGCCACATTTAGCCTGCAACGTCATGGCCCTTCTACTCCTGCCCCGCCTGCTCTCCTCATCCTCCTCTTTTGAGAAGCAGTATTCCAAGCAGTAGGAGTCACTGGAGGCTCGTAGGCAGGGGAGAAACATAAGAGCAGCATCTCTGGGACCTTTATTTGGCTGTGGTGAGCAGAATGGATTGGGCAGGGGAAAGGTGGGAAAGGGGAAACTTAACTGAAAAATGTAAAGAAGGCCTTGAGGAGGACAATGGAGGAGGAGAGAGAATTTTGAGAGTGGTTTTCATTCCCCTCACTGTCTATCTTTTTTCCCTTTCTGTTCCCATCATCCTCATCATGGGTCCCTGCCCATGACCATGGGCTAGACACTCCAGATAGTCCCAAAGCTCAGGACCTAATGGATCTTTCAGATTAGCTGCCTTCTTCCCCCCACACTCTAGGATACATCATTTGGAACGAATGGAGAAGAAAAGTTTTGGGTGGCTCTGTCCTTCTCTCATGCCTATCCCCAGCTCAGCTCCAGCCTGCCCACCTTTCCCCTCCTGGACTGTGTCCCGGGCCCATATTCACATCCTTGATCAGGAGGAAGGCAGAGATCAGATCAAGATATTTGGAGTTAAGCATTAGGGGAGCTCCCTAGAACTCTTCTTGGAGAGGTGCAGAGGTAATGGCTGGCATTGGAAGCTTGGTATAGGGTGTTCCATCTGTCATTGAGAATCTTCCCATGTCTGGTTCAGGGGTGCTATTGGGCTTCTCTAAGACTTGAGACCCCATCCTTCCAAGCAAAGATTCTGGGGTTACAGGGGACCTATACGGTTTGGGCATCATAATAATAGCAATAATGCTTCTTACTTCTGTGGTGCTTCTCCATTTGCAAAGGGTTTTCAAAGACATTATTTAACTCTTACAACCACCTCAGGTAGCAGGAATATCCATCCTTATTTCACCTCTAAGAAGATAAATTTGTCCAAGGTGACACAGATTGAAGAGATTCGAATCCAGTTCTCCTAAAACCAGGGTCTGAGCTCTTTCCATGCTTTGCCCCCTCTACTCCAGCAGCTGTTTGTGGTTCTGACATGCACGGATCCTCCCAAGCCCTGAAGGATTCCATTTCCACTTCCTGCCTCTACCTCCTCTCTGGAAAGGAGCTCTGAAAGTTTGCTGCCCATTGTGTGCCAAGGTACATTTTCCTATTCATCTTGAGCTTGCATCCCTCCAGTTCTACGAGGCCCCCTCATCTCCCATTTCACGATTTGAGGAGCAAACACATCTGTTTATCTAGGCCTTCCATTATTTGTGGACTTCCATCTTATTTCACCTTCCAGAGGCCTAAACTTTGAAGTTTGCTCTCTCTAGCAGCCCCTGACTCCCCATTCTGTGGATCATTCTCTGACCCTTCTCTAGGTCCATAACATTCTCCCCAAAAGCCAGTGACTCAGCATTCACTCAGCTACATGGTTTTATGCAAGGATGAGAGAAAGTTCTGTCTTTTGTTTCCACTCGTCTTCGTTATAATGCCATTGCTTTTTGGCCTTTTTGACAAATGCAGAACTTTGGGCTAAGGTCTTCAGGGAACCATCTGCAATGCCTTCCCTATTCCTTTCCTGACTCAGAGACTTTCATTTCACCCATAATTTCAGTGATTTTTCGAAGGTGATGGGAGCACAAATGCATGGAAAATGTATTAGAATATGGTGAGAGTAATTGGGGCATAACTTTATATTTATTAAAGGGGGGCAAGGACCAAAAAAAGGTTGAAAAACAATGTCCTGGGCAGTGATAAGCAAACTTTAAAACCGAGGAATGGAGGTGAGAGTGTGGGAAATACATATTACATGTCATTCATGGGTGGAGGTTGAGAGGTTGAGACCCACTTGTTTAGATTACTGATTGCTAAATGCATCAGCTTGCATTTATCTCATGAAAACTCTGTCCCCAGACCAGTTTTTTTGCTCACTTACACATACTGGGAAAGTTCTCTCTTTTCTTCTCTGTTCCCTTTAGTTTAACTGGGCTCTGGTTAAAGAGTTGGGGTCACCGTGGGTGGTCACTGTATGGGTCCAAAGGAATCAGGGCTCTTTCCCAGTTACAGAGAAAACAAAAGGGACAGTTGGGTAGGGCTGAGACATCCTTCCCAACCAGTCTTGGAGGGCCCTCTAGGCCCCATGTTGACCCCAGAGTCTGGATTCCATGTGTGTCCTTCCTCCTTCCTCTCAGCCATCAGGGTGGTGTTGGGATTGGTGGGGTTGAGAGAGCCAAGAGGGAAATAAAACCACAGGGTTTGCTTTGCTAAAGGGCTGCAGTTTTCTCTTTGGGCCTGGGCTCCTGGAAGGAGCCTATAGCCTGCTGACAACCAGGTAGGAATCCAGGGCTGTCTGATCAGCTGTATTGGAATTAGGGGCTGACTCTGAGAGTTTGTGAGGAAACTGAAGCTGTCAAGGAGGCTTGTGTTGGACTCCTCCTTACCCTCCCGTTGCCCTTGTGGTTCATTTCCTGCTTCCCTTGTCTTCTACTAGCCGTCCTGCCATTGGATTTCTCTTCTCAAATTTGGATTCTAGATGTGCAGGGTGATGCTCAGATCTAGTCTGGGTTGGAGAGGGAATGTCCTCCAGCGCCACCGCACTCCAAGGCCAGGCCTTTACTCTCACTCGGGTGCTCCCAGCACCCTCTCACCCCCATCCCGCAGCCCCTAGGAGCAGAAAGTAGTTTCCAAAGTGTGAGCCGGCATTTGAGGCGACCCACCACAGCGAACCCCACTGCACACGCAGCTGGACAAGGCGCGGCCCGGTACATAGACATGCCACTCGGCCAGGGACATTCTGTCCGCCTTTGCCGTACACAGCGCCTGCTCCGGAGAGACCCACCTAGCCTCCCCGGACATTCTGTCCGCTCTGAGCCCCGCGCGCTGCGGACATTCCGTCCAATTCCATGAGGCTCCAGGCCGAGACCCATCCGAACCCTGACACCCCAAGCCCGACATGCCAGCCCCGCCGCCTAGTCACTAGGGCTGCCCCGCTTCGGCCCTGCCGCCCGCACAGCGGCCATCTGACCCGGTCGCTGCCAGGCTTCCACAATACGGCTCCTATCCAAACTGCGAAGCGGCGGGGAAGAGAAGCGTGTGCGACCAGACTCACCCCTGCTCGCAGCCCCTAGAATCTGAGCCCTGGGCTAGGGGCGTTCGGAGCGGCCAACTGCCCTCACGCTGTGCGGCCGCCGCCAGCTCCCCCCGCTGGCCAGGGCCTCGGCAACCCCTTTCGCTCCCTGGCTGCCTGCCCCGCGCCCCCGAATTCCAGGGCGCTTTCTGGTAATGATTTCCCCACTCTATTCCTTGCTTCGCAGAGCTCCTGTCCTGGCTTCATGTCTCCGGCTTCCCTCTGGATCCCTTGAGTCTCCCTCTTGTCTGTCCCCCGAGTCCCGACGCTGAGTTTTCGTTTTCCTAAGTCCCGGCCCCGGGTCTGCAGTACGCCCTCCCAGTCTAGACCCGTTTCCCAGGCACCGTTCCCCAGTTCAGCCACCCAGGTCCTGTTTTGCGGATCCCGAAGTTCGGTCGTGGCCCCTCGGCCCCATGAGTCCCTGTCCCCGCATGGTCGAGCACTCACAGTGAGTCCTGCAACAGGCAGACTCCCGGCAGAGGCGGCGGCGGCGGCAGTCTGGAGAGCAGGCAGGGGCCAGGGGCCGGGCACCCGGCCGGGGTGGGGGCCGCCCCCCTGCGCCCGGGCCGCCGCTCTGCTCCGGCGCTCTCGGACTCGCAGAGAGAGAGAGAGTGAGCCTCGCGGCGGACTGCCACCCCCCGCCGGCGCCCATTCACTTTATGGCAGCCCAGGGCGCCCCCAGCCCGCCGCGGCAAGCCTGGAGCGTCGGGCCCCGCCCCCTTCCAGCTGCGCCGCCCGGGCTCCACCCTTTCCAGCTGTGAATTTTCAGGCCCCGCCTTCGGGGGAGGGGTCCGGCCGGCGCGCCGCCAAGAAGCCCGCCCCTTGGCCAATCGAAGGCACGCCTCAGCATCTGGGCCACGCCCCTCCCCACGTGGCTGAAACTTCGCGGAGCAAGAACATTTTGGCGGAGCAGAGCGTGTATCCAGAGGGCGAGAGTATAGTGGCCCTGGTGGCCCCGGAGAATTGGGACCAGGCCGCCACTCTGAGCGATGTGCAGTGGTGCCGGGGGATAGGGCAGCCGGGGCGCCTGGTGGGAGGACGCACCGTCCGGGAGAGGCCACCGGGTTTCAACGCTTTGTTGCCGCTCACGTTTCGCAGATTTTCTCCACTTGTCACTGTCTGTCTCTCCGCGCTTTTGTCTCTGCTCCAGTCCTCCCACATTTTGCCTTTCTTTCCTCTTCTTTCTCCTCCGCCGCTTGCTCTTGCTGTTTGTCCCTCTCCTCCCTCCTGTCACTTTGAAACACTAATGTATCTTTTTCTGTGCTCTTGTTCTTCACATCTTTCTTTCTCTTCTTGGCTGTCTCCCACCCTCTCCCCCCACCTTTCCTCTCTTCCAAGTAAGGCAGCTTCATGGACAAAGCAGGGTTTCCAATGAGGCAAACCAAAGAGTCATTCTAACCTGCTACCAACATTCTAACCCTGCCACCATCACCGAGTGACCTTGGACAAATAACTATCACGCCCTCTACTCCCGCCTACCCCTCAGAATTAAAGGAAACTCTCTCTGTCAGGACTTGGGCTGGGCACTCAGGTCTGGGTGGTTCACCTGTTAGTCTGCACCTTTGGCTTTGCCCCGGTTATGCTCTCCCAGCTTTAAGAGGGCTGGCATCTCCCTGGTAATACCAAGTTAAATCCTGTGGGCAAGGTATGGCCTTGGTGCTTGCTAGCTAGGGAGTTGCAAGAACAGGACAGATGTCCCAAGGACCATGTGGAGTCAGGCTGGGTAGGTTGGGTGACCCTGAGGGCCCTAGCCCTATAACATAGTATGCTCCTTAAGGAAATCGGACCAGTCATGTCTCTGCTTAAAATCCTTAAATGGGTCTTGATTTTCAGGTTAAAGGCTAAACTCCCTAGCCTGGCATACAAAACTTTCAGCACCTGGCCCTGTCTTTTTTTTTTGTTTTTCCCTTTTGTTTTTGTTAAAGCACAGGGACAGGACCCATGGGCAGGAAGAGCTGCCTGGACCTGACCCTGTCTTAATATCTAATTTCTGAGTGGTTTCCTGCACGTCTCTGGCCTTTCTTCTGACAGTAACCTATTTCAAGTCTTCATCTTGCCAACTCCTACTCATTTTTCTATGCTCTAATCAGGTTTCATTTTCTCTGAGAAACTTTTCCTAAACTTCCAAGATAGCCAGATGTCTAGCTTCTTGCTCCCACAACCCTCTTACACATACCTTCTATTATCCCATCCACCATACTGAAGAGATCAGCTAATACGATGTCTTCTATGATGCTAAAATTGAGGAGGGCAAGTACCATGTTTTCCCCATATTTCTATTCCTAGGCATAATGTAGGACTCAATACTGAAATGTAAGAGGGAGGTGTTCTGCCTGGTAAGATGATGGGCATGTTCAACTCTCTTGTCCTCATTTCTAACACAATCCCATTCATGCTTTTTAAAATTTTTTTATTTTTTACAAGATTTTATTTTTAAGTAATCTCTACATCCAATGTGGGGCTTGAACTCATAACCCCGAGATCTAGAGTTACATGCTTCATTGATAGAACCAGCCAGGCCCCCCAACCATTCATGCTTTTGGGTTGATTAATTTTTGAAGGTATATGAGAGTGGAGATGAGGAAGACAAGGAGTTTTGGTCCACTTAGGATTTTCCAGTTGGCTCAATCTGAGGCCCAGAAAACCAAATCCCAGTTTTCAAATGGAAATGGAAATGGCTCAGACATATTGTGGAAAGAGGTGCTAAGGTGGTCTTTTCTTCCTCTGACTCTCTTTGGTTGAAAGAGGCAAGATCCCCAAGCTGGACCCAGAGTTCAGGAGCCCAATGGGCAGGTACAGGGAGCTGTTGAGGAGTTCTTCGGGTCTGATGTTCAGTCTTATGGGCTCTTCAATTTAGAGGAATCTAGACCATTCCCACATTCCTATGGGGTTAGGTATGGGGTTCCTCTGGATTTGGGTCATCCATAAATGGGAAGAAATGGGGAGAAAGTTGGCATCTTTTTCCACTCCCTGAGCAGTCTCTTCAGGTCTACCCGGACACCTGGGCTTTATCCCAGCAGATGGGCTGAGAATTCCACCACTCGATCAGCAAGGAGAAAACCCACCTGTCTTCTTCCCACACACTCTGACTTCTAGGTAATTCTAACTATCCTGGCAACCTCTATCATCTCTTGCAAGGGGAGAGACAGTTGGGGGAGAAGAGTGAATATTGGGCTGGGCATCTAACCCTTAGGCCTCTTAGCATTTCCAAGGCAAACAGGAAAGTCTTAAGTTTCCTGTTACTGATGATGTTGACTAACCCCCATAGTTAGCTTTTTTCCAGGCAAGTAAGGAACGTCCAAAGCTTAGTATGAGGAGCAGAGTTGGGAGTCACAGCCTGATGGACTTAGGCATAAGAGGTAGTGAGAAGCAGTGAAAAGGAGAGCTGGACTGAGGGTGAGGACACCTGGATTTGTCTCTCTGCTCTGCTATTAACTAGCTATGTGAATGTGGGGGGCCCTCTTTGCACACGGGGACTCGGTTTCCTGCTCTGTAAATTGAGGCCTGGATTAGATATCCAAGATTCCTGTTTCCTCTCGTTTTTCTCTATTTGTGGATGATACGAATGGGTACAAGACACAGAAACCGTTGGGATGGGACAGACACATTAATGAGAAGCCAAACAGGGCAGGCAGATGGTAGGGTGGGGGAGGGGAGGTTGGAATAGATTGAAGGACTGGTTCTAGGACGGAAAGAACCTAGAGCTGCCTAGAAACGAAGTAATCCCTCAAGGGGCAAGATATTGGCCTAGATGACTTTGATAGGTGGTTGCCGGTGGTGGGCAGGGGAGCCGGGTCGCCCGCTCACGCTCTCAAAACGGACCCCGCCCCCTTTCCAGCAAATCGTAGCTTTCCTCCCCATAATGCCCAGCAGCCACAGCTAAACCGCGCACTGCAACCGAACTCTAGTTAGCTCCACCTCTCTAACCGCGCAGCACAAATTTCTCATTTTTATTGGCTTTTATAACTGTCACTCAGAGAATCCCCGTATCCGTTGGTTGTCCCCTACCTACTCTTTTCTGTCCCTTGTAATCTCGCCTTCTTAGGCTGTACCTGCCCCCAGAAGCCAATTTCCTTTTTCTATTGGGTAGCTGGAATGTCACTTCTCAGGATACAAAATTATGATTGGCTGTGCGTGCCAGGGCTCGCGCAGTTACCAGGCAGCGGGCTAGACTGAGGCTAGTTACCACGTCAGTGAGCTGACAGGGAAGGTAGCCGGCTCCACCGCCCGTTCCGGCCGAGTCTTCCTGGCCGACTGTGCGGTCCCTGACTTCGGCCTCAACTTCCAGGAAGCGGGCTCCTTCCCTTTTCCCATCTGCCACCAGAGCCGGGAGAGTCGCTTAAAGACGCCTTCGGGGCCCGGGCTGGACATGAGCAGCGGCTGCGGGTCCTGGGACTAGGCCCCGCCATTTTGGATCCGCTGACAGGTCAGCGAAGTCTCTTCTTAAGAGTTCCAGTGTCTTGAAGGCAGCCCGACATCGCCGTAGGGAATGAGGGGAGGCGGGCCCTTAAGTTGGACGAGCCGGGTGGCTTAAGAACGCAGGGACAATAATTAAACAGGAAGAGATTGTTGTGGGAGAGAACTGGGAGGCATGCAGGGGGGCAAAGGTCAGGCCCCTGCGGCTGGAGGGGCGACTTCATCTCTGACTTATGATCCTTTTCGGGTGCCCGAATCTTTCTTCCTGTGTTCCCAGGCTTCACCTAGCCTTTTAGCTCCCCTCTTCTAGAGCTTTCTGTTTCCTAAAGAGCCCAGTCCTCAAAAGCTCAAAGCAAACCTAAAGAACATTGGATCTGCTTTTTAGGGTTGATTTTTAAACCTTAGAAATGAGGCGTCTGCAGATCCTGTACAGCGTCCACTTCTGTGTGACTGCCTCCTTAGTACAACTGAACTGCCTTATTAACACTGGATGATGAACTAGTGCAACTTAGACTCAGGTAGTGAGAAGAGGTGTGGAAGGATTGAGGCCAGTCTTATGGAGACCTGGGCTAAGAGACTTTCCACTGCTGGGGCAGCTCAGCTGCCAGTCTGGGTCTGTATGTCAACGCTGGACTTAACCTTCTGAGGCTGTTTCTTCCATTACACAGTCTTGAACAGATACTCTCTTCTGGTGTATGTTTTGGTTGGCATTTCCCCTCAAGGTGTTCTCTTCATTTGGCCTCAAGCGATGTTTAATCACAAGGGAGCCACTTTGTTATGCTATATTTGGCTGAGAACAGAGAGGGATTTGAGTATTGGTGAAAAAAAGGTCATGAAAGATGTTCAGCTAATTTAAAAGTGGTAGGGTCAGGGCAGCAGAGTGAATGATGGAGGAGTATAACTCCAAGGAGAAGTTTATGGCACTGTGGTAACCTTTGATAAACTGCTGTATTGTAAAACTGTAAAATTCCCCAAGGGTAAAGAGTGCCTTCAGAAATGAGGAATAGTGTAAATAGTGTTTTTTAGCTCACAACAAAGAAGTTTTTATGCCATTAATTCAGGTATATAAGGCACTTCTCTGGGCCCTCTGGAGGATACAAATAGAAAGGTCTGTTTAGGAATTGCTCTGTTTAACTTACACCCACTTCTTCAAAGCAGTAGCATATATGTGCAATAGCCTACCTAGAGCATGAGCTAGGGATAAACGGTGTCAACCTAATGCCTTTGGGAAAGTAACGGACACTCAGAAAGTGTTATCTGTACCTGGGCTTAGTTGTAGTGTG